AGAGAAAAGAAAAGAGTCGATACATGGGAAAGAATGATTATTAAATGAAAAAGTTGGAACCCAAAAAAGGTTTGGCCAGATTGGTTGTCCAGATTGGAGCCAAAACAGTAAATTCTAGTGCTTGACTGCAATGTGGGATGGTGAATGCCCCACTCAACAGCTGTTTGAAGCCATCTGGAAACCAATTTTTGCAAAATTTTCATTTATAATCATTTTTCTAACATCCCAATCTTCTTTTCTCTCAGCACTCTCAATCCCCCAAAATTAATTTCAAAGCTTTTGAGAAAAATAAATTTTATTTTTTATTTTTCACAAATTTTGAAACTTTGTTTTTTGTTTTTATTTTTTCATATTCATTCTTTGGGACCTATTCTGCACCACTTCACCAATTCTTGTGACTTCAAGTTTGTGCTTTGAAGCTCTGGAATCCAAAACAAGCAGCCAAAAATAACGGTCCACCCACTGTACATACAATATTTAAGGGCCTGTACCATATATAGACCCTGATTTTCAAAAAATCAAATTTTGATTTCCGGCCAGTTTCATTTTTTTTTCATCGAAACTGATAATTAAATTTTTCATCCATCTCCAAAAATCATCAACCAAAATGATGTACCATGGAGTCCAACTTGATTTCGCAAAGTGGGTGTCATCAAAATCCGTATTGGGATTTGTTGGAAATTGGGTTACATGTGGTACACAATTTCATTTTATGATGGAAAAATGGATTCCCACCTGGATTATGAAAAATGGGTGTCTATGGTACAGGCCATTAATTGTGACATCTGGTGGGTTTGGGTGGAGGTGATCAGATGTCGCGTGGGGATGTCAGTGATAGTATACACTGCCAGACGGGTCTGTCCAAGAATAAAGAAAAACATTTGCAAGTGGCCTTTCATCAGACCAAGCCCATTCAGAACGAACAAGCAAACCAATCCCGATATCCTCGATGGCCGGCTTCGTCTTCAAGGATGACTCCCGTCCTCAGTCTCAGTCCACCTCCTCAACCCAGAAGAACCACACTAGAACCCTGCAAGCTGATACCCGTCCAAGCCCAATGCCAAACAAGAACTCAACACCGACTACGAACACCAAAAGACCCCCTCCTTGCGATACCCATCCAGCCCCATCTATCAAAAAGTCACGCGCAACCCCACCCACTCATCCACTTCAACTCTCTGTCCAGCTCGACAAGCAGTTTGATTTCCCCGCTCAAGATGACCTAGACTTCCTCGAGCAGATTCATCACTTAGAACACAGCCAGCCTGCCAAAACTCAGAAAGCTCAACAAGCCAGTCCTGGCAACCCTCCAAGCACCAGAGCTCAGCCCAAACCTCCACCGCTGAGACCTTCAAAAATCAACCAACCTAATTCGGCCGTCTCAACCCCTTCAAATCTTAATCCTCGGCCCGCTCGGCCATTTGTCCAAACCACCATACAAGAAGTTGGGCTTCTTCTTCTCTCCAAAGAATCATCCTTTTTCTTCTCCAATTAACCAGCTAAACTGATTATCCCTCTTATTCCGTCCTTCAGATTGATTTGGAAGCACTGTACATTAGACGGCATACTTGCATCTCTAAGCTCGTGGTGACTCTAGAAAAAATGCTTAGCATCTTTCAGAATGGTGAATGTCCGACGGATGAAGACTTCGGCTGTCTGGCGAACACAAAGTTATAACCGTTTCCCTCTTTTTACCTATGTTATTATTTTCCAATCCTCGCCACATTATATAGAGCTCTGACTGGTTTTTTTTTTTTTTTTTTTTTTTTTTTTTTTGGTATTCGTTTGAGCAACAAGCAGATCGTACCTTAGCGGAAGACTCGCCGAATTTAATGAGGAGGTCAAGCGACGCGAATCAATCGGTATCTCCCTCGAATCTGCCAAATCATCCGTCGGGCCGATCCATACCGCCAACAGGTCTGCCCCTCCGATCAGTCGCGTTGCTCCCGCCCAGGCCACTTCTCCCTCTACCTCTTCGCGTTTCTCGAACGAGAACCTCGCTCCTCCGACCAAGCCATCATCCTCATCCGATCATCAAACTTCCAAACCCACTTATCGTTCAGTCTCTGCAACGACAATCCCTAATCCTCATTCTCCAACAACGGCCCAACCCAATGAGCCAATCCATCAGCCAGTCGGCTCTACTTCTACATTGAGAACTTATCAACCAAATAATAACTTCGTTCAAGCTCGTAGGATTGCAACTCCCAATCAAGCCGATGAACCAGAGCCTGAATGTATAGATGAACCCGTGCAAGAACTCAGCCATAACTCAATTGATCCATATCTCTTGGAAGGAATCTTTTCCGCTGATGAGGATGACATCCACGAGCTAGAAGATCACGCCGATCCAGATCAAACCAACGATTCACACAATCCGGCACCCAGCGGATCTATAGACATCATTCATCCCGCTCCAAGTAAACATTCCACAAACCCATCACATCGATCAAATGCACCGATCACTACTCTCTCACAACCTGTTGAAGACTATTCCAAGAAAATGACCCATCCCTGGTCTAGAGACGTCGGCAAAGCCCTCGTTAAAATCTTCAAATTACACACCTGGAGACATAATCAGATTGATGCTATCAACACCACACTTTCTGGGAAAGACTGCTTCGTCCTGATGCCAACAGGAGGGGGGAAATGTAAGAAATGACCCGGGTCGCATGATTTTTCAAGAAAAAAAAAGCATACCAGTGATCCCCTAGATCTGAATTTTGCTTACATTACCTCCTCCTCTATTTTTATAGCTTTGTGCTACCAATTACCAGCTGTGGTGAGGTCAGGTGTGACCAAGGGTGTGACGATCGTCATCAGTCCGTTGATCAGTCTAATCACCGATCAAGTTCAAGCATTGTGTGCAAAACATATCGGGGCGGCTGCTTTTACGGGTTCGATGACAGCCCAAGAAAGAGAAAATGTGATGAACGATCTCCGATCAGTCGACCCTGCATTATGTCTCGTTTATGTTACTCCTGAGATGGTACTTGTCCATTTTTTTCACCCTCATTGACTGCCAAGATCAAGACGGGGGCCGAAAAAACCCCACCCGATGATTTACCGGTTTTCTCATGTTAGGTTTTTGCGTTTTTTTTTGTTTGGTTTAACGATCTAGATCATGAGAAGCTCTGTGTTGTCTAACATCCTAACTGACCTCAAAAATCGCAAGTTGTTGGCTCGCTTTGTTTTTGATGAGGCTCACTGTGTAAGTCAATGGGGACACGATTTTCGTAAGTCGGTAGAATCAATCCACACCAACTTTCTGCTTCTTCTTTTGGAGCTTGGCAAAACTTTCTCATTCTGAAAAAAGCGGAAGCTTTTCCCTTTTTCCTGGAAAACAAAAAATCGATGCAGCCTAATTGTTTTTTTTTTTTTTTGATTGGTTTTTAGGTCCCGATTATAAGGACATCGGACCGATGCTTCGTAAAGAGTTCAAGAATATTCCATTTATCGCCTTGACGGCCACAGCAAACCACAGGGTTCAACAGGACGTGATGTCGAACCTGAAGATCACCGGTTGTCGGGTCTTGACCCAGTCCTTCAATCGAATCAACCTGAGATATGAGGTTCGACCCAAGACGAAGGACGTGCTGAATGACATCATTCAGATCATCACTGTCGATCATAAAGGTGAAAGTGGGATCATCTATTGTCTTTCAAAGAAGCAGTGCGAAGAGGTTGCCGCACACCTCTCTGCCAAGAACCGGATAACAGCTCATCACTATCATGCGGTATGCATTTCGTTTTATCGCGTATCCTACGCCAGTAATACCTAAACCAATATTTATTGAGTTGTCCCATATTTTGATTCAACTTGACTGAAAAATAGGGAATGTCCAAAGACGATCGGCAGAAAATTCAACATGGCTGGCAGGTAGGCAAATTGCAAGTGATTTGCGCAACTATAGCGTTCGTTACAAGATTATCTTCACAGAATCATGAAAGGGACAAAAGCAGAGAGGAACTTACAAAATAAACATATTCTGTCCAATCTGATCATCAGTTTCGGAATGGGAATCGATAAGCCCGACGTTCGGTTTGTCATTCATCATTCGATGCCCTCTTCCCTCGAAGGATATTATCAGGAAACTGGTCGAGCAGGCAGAGATGGTCAGATTTCAGAATGTATCTTGTTCTACGCTTATCGAGATTTTGTGAGTCCTACATAACCGTAGAAAGAAAAGAAAAAGAAACGCATTTTTTTTAAAATGATCCATTGATCTAATAAGAAGCACATTCCAAGTAGGTGTAGTTTTCATATATGAATAACCCATACTCACCAAAATAATTATGTCTTTATCTTTTCATATTTCGATCGGAGATGTAGACTGCATTTATGAGAATGGTAGAAAAATCGACGACCGTGAAAGAGCAGATCGAGCGGCAACAAGCAAATGCGAAGCAAGTGGTAGGATTCTGTCTCAATAAGTTAGACTGCAGGAGGGCGCAGATCCTCAGTTACTTTGGCGAGAAATTCTCGGCTTCCGAGTGTCGGAAGACCTGTGATACTTGCATGAACCCAGAAAGGGTCGTGATGAAAGATGTCTCTCAATTGATGAAAGCGGTCGTCAAATTGGTCAAACAAATCACCGCCCATCGATCCGAATCGGTTACTATTGTTCACATTGTTGATGTCTTTCGAGGTAGCAAGAGCAAAAAAGTGGATTACAATCTTCTTTCTGTTATGTTGTTCTAGTCTGAATAGTCTGCTATCACTTACTCTTATCTGTAAACGCTGATCGATCTCTTGTCACATTTAACTTCAGGTTACAAGTGCAGGACACGATCAACTAGATGGTGCGGGACAAGGTAGCACTCTCGATCGGACGGATTGCGAAAGGTTACTTCATCTGATGGTTTCCAAGGACTTCTTGAACGAACGTTTTGAGGCCAATGCCATGGGTTTCGTCAATGCATATGTTCAGGTAAATCGGATCAACCTCTCTATTGATCGCAAGATGAGGTTCGCAGGGATAAAGAACTGATGGATTGATGATCTTTCTAGCTTGGACCAGCTCATCAGGAGGTTCTAACCAGTAGGGGCCAGGTGATGATGGCGTTCAGTGGAGAGGTGGGTCCTTCGAAACGGGCCGGGCCGACGGAGGCGCCGAAGAAGACAGTTGTCAGGGCCAAGAAAGGCGGAGGGAAGGAGGTCAGCGTGGTGGAGGATTCGGATTCAGACTGTATCTTGGATGACTCTGTCGACTCGGATGTCCCAGCCAGACCGCCCACTAGAACTTCACGCGCCCAAAACGCTGGCCCGCCCGTCAGAGGCGGCGTTAAACAAGCCCTTGCTACTATCAAAGCTAAACGTCAAATAAACGAGATACAGTCTGGTGGGACGGGCTCGGTTGAAGACTGTTATAAATCTCTTCTGATCTTCAGAGTGAGTATCGCCCTCCTTTTTCTACTTTAATGTCACAATTCTCTTTCTTTTTTTTTGTTTCCTCACTGAAAAAAGCTTCCAATCAAATTCCGATGGTTTTCCGTTGTTTGTCCCTTTGTCAGGATGCCTTGACGCAAGATGGTGATGATTTCGATACAGATTTGCCTACCGATGAAGTCCTGCAGACCATAGCTTGCATTCATCCTCATTGTAAGACCCTCCCCTCCTCTTTTACATAGCTTCTTCATTTTATTTTTCTTTCCCCTCTCATTTAGAGAAAATAAAACATCTCATTTCCGGTCCGGTTGACTCGGACCCCGATTTCTTGTTTTACTTTGTTTGTTTTGCTTTTCGAAATCAATTCAGCCATACAAGGATTAACTGCTATAGATGGCCTCTCAAAGCGGTAAGACTATTTTACCTCTCTTTTTGTTTCCCTTGTATCCACTTTCTTGCTTTTCCTTTTTCTTCTTTTTCTTCACACTTGGATTCAAAATAAACAAATAAATAAGGCGCAGGTTTAGATACTGAGGCTCGATCTTATTATTCTGGTATTTGATTTATTGCTAGGTGTATCGATCAGCATGGCTCATCTATTTTGAAAGTTTTGAACAAATTTAAACCTCAAGACTCGCATAAACAACCACAGAAAACAAATCAGAATTCTCGTCAAGAAAGCAAATCGACGACGTATGTTAATAGTTTCGGATGTTGATTTTATTATTACCAAAAGGAAACACTTGAGCATGCTGATCTAATTTCGCTCTTGGTGTGCTACTTGATCGCAGTTCAACAACCAATCGGCCAGTTGATTTCCACCAACATGTTTCGAAATATGTTGCGTCGAATAACCAAGGCTCGAAAACGAGTTCGAGTAATACTAAAAAGTCTAACCAATTTGTCCCTCGGACTGGTGGAGGGAGCTCGGCTGCAATCAAACCGATGCCTATCCCTCGATGAACTCTCCTACAAACTAAGTAATCTTACCGATCCCCCCCCCTCCTTTGTCAATATAGCACTTCCTATCTTGCATTCTTCATCTCGTACTTTTTTATCCTCCTTGTCATTTTTGATCTCTATCTTCTTACTCCCCCCCCCAAAAAAAACCCCTTTTTTTGGCATCCACCTCCATCTTGATCTCATTCTCCCCTTTAGTAAGTACATTGGTCTCTAAATATATATATCTGTGTATTATTCAATCAATTCTAGATGACTATTCACTTCTATCTCTAATTATCTTTCTCATCTAACAAAGCTTTACGATGCCATCTTTTACATTCACCAAGCCAGCTAAATTAGAACACATTTTAGCCTTGGTGGTTGGTATGATCCATCATCTTGGAGCTCGTTGATTTATGTATTTCAGAGACTCTTTTTGCTACATATGTAACCATCACAAAATATTCATTGAGCTTACAAGCCAGCCTGTGATTGCACTAATAAGCCTTGAGCCACCAAATTATCTGATGTTCTTTGTGCTGGGTTGCTGTTCCACTATCACTATCATGAGTCAACTGAACAACTGTGGCTCCTGAGAGATGTCACAAAACTGGAAGGGCCCTGATATCACTCCCATAGAAATGGGTCAAAGCATGTTACATTATGATGAGAATGTACATATTATACCTGACATGACAATGAACAAAGCAACATTAGATCTCTGTAGGTGTCTTACTCAAAACTAAGCACAGGCTGATTGGTTGGTCTATGTAATTGATACTCAACCCCTCCACATATGGCACAAGATGATCAAAGCTTCATGATATGAATCTTATAACCTGTGTATTCGAAAACAGGGTCACAAGTCAAGAGGCTCAAGAAAAAAAAGTTTATCAAAGGGGGGATAGGGATCCATTAGTTTTTATTTTTGAAAAAACTACTTCTGTGGAGGAAAAATGGTATGGGAGATTTTGCATTAGTGATTTTCAAAGGTGATGCATAAGTGCATAAACATAAATTCACAATTAACTATTGGCTGGGAGCATCTTACATAATCACAGCCAAGATCATTTGTGGTTTTATTTTGGGTCTTAGTTAAACAACACCCAAATATTGGAGTTCCAACTCCCAAATTTTTGGGACGTCGCCAAGACCCCCTGAAGATGCTCTGCAGGCCGTCCACCCCCGCAGATGGGATTAGGACCTCTCAAACCTGTTGAAGGTTTGGGAGTCGATCCTCCCAAAATAAAATAAAAATAAAAAACCCTGGGGGTTTTTGGGAGTCGATCCTCAAAAACCCCCATGGAGGTTTGGAGTCGGTGCCGGCCTCTCAGTGGCGGAGAGGAATCCCTCTCCGCCTTTGAGAGTGTATACTCTCACCAGCCAAGAGGAATACCTCACCAAGATTACTCTTGGTTGTTGAGAGTGTACAGTTGTTGAAAGTGTCCGAGAGGGATTCCTCTCCGCCGCTGAGGTACACTCTCAGTGGCCAGGAGGAATTCCTCTCCGCCGCTGAGGTACACTCTCAGTGGCCGGGAGGAATTCCTATCTGCTGCTGAGGTACACTCTCAGTGGCCGGGAGGAATTACTCTTGGCTGGCAAGAGTAAAAAGCTTTCACTGGCCGGGAGGAAAAGGAAATCTCCAATGGGGATGATGGTATTGACCTTCTTGACCACAAATCTTTTTTGCTCGTTAGGAGTTGGTTCTGGGTCAGGTTTTGTGACTGAATTCTGGTCTACGTCCATCGAGTCTGCCATGATGTTGGTTCTGTTGGGATTTCCGATTGATCAAGTCAAGGAGGATATGTACACCACAGGTCGCAAGCAATGTTGAGCTCGCATCACATGTTTTGTGGGCCTCACTTGTCTGACCCTGCCCAAAAAAATGGCAGGGCTAAGAGCGGGAGGTGTTGGGTGCCGCTGTCAGCCCAACTTGTGATGTGGACCTCTTGTTTGATCATGTCGTGGGCATGGGTGGGTGGACATGACCGCGACGGCTTCTAACAAGCAGCAGACGTCAGCGGCCCCTTGTGGGTGTAACGAGTTGCAAAGAAATTGGGATGCTTGGTCTTGAGAAAAAGAGTCCTCCTCCCTTGCCTTGAACCTGCAACCTATGCCAATGCTGGTGGTGGGCAGGCCAGATGATTAGTGCACATCATGCATCAGCAAGGGGACATAACTACCGCTCTACATAGAGATGGTCAGTTCGCATCCGGATATCCACGCGGATGCGGATATCCGGCTGCTTTTTTCAGCAAAACAACCATCCGCATCCGCATCCGAACCCGCTGGCGGGTATCCGTCGGCCACAGCGGGTATCCTCGGATACCCGCCCTTTAAACGGCCAGCCAGGGACCGGCTGGAAGGGTTTCCTTCCAGCTGGCGAGGTGCATGTAACTCACCGGCTGGAAGGAAATCCTTCCAGTCGACGAGGTCGAGGTACATGCCTCGTCGACTGGAAGGAA